GCAAGGAGACGCGTGACAGTAGGACTCTCTTCGTGCTGCCACTCCGACTGTCACGCGTCTCCTTGCTACTGTTGTCACTGACCCTTCCTTTGAGTCCACTGCTGCGTCTGCCATAGTTGCTGAGCTCGTCGACTTTGCTGCTCGCTGTCGTCTAGACTACGCTGCTAGTCTTGTTGCTGAGTCTGAGTCTGTCTGTCCTCCGTCCATCGGAGGTGAGTGTGCCCTTGGCACGGACGTCCTTGAGGACAGGCAGGAGGAGTTCCAGTGTTTGGCTGCTGCTTCAACTCATCTCGTATCCGTACTGCTTACCCCTGAGGGAGACCCGGATGCACTTGACATCCCGACTCCGTGCTCTTACGCGGAGGCGATAGAGGGTCCCTACTCCTCTCAGTGGCAGGCAGCTATGGACGTAGAGATGGCTTCTTGGAAGTCCACAGGCACCTACGTTGACGAGGTTCCCCCGCCTGGGGCGAACATCGTCAGTGGCATGTGGATTTTCAGGGTGAAGCGGCCGCCGGGTTCTCCGCCTGTCTTCAAGGCGCGTTACGTGGCTCGTGGCTTCAGTCAGTGGCAGGGAGTTGACTACCTTCAGACCTTCTCTCCCACCCCGAAGATGACCACTCTTCGGGTACTGCTGCACATAGCTGCTCACCGTGACTACAAGCTGCACTCTCTTGACTTCAGCACTGCTTTCTTGCAGGGCAGCCTGCACGAGGAGATCTGGCTGCGCCGCCCACTTGGCTTCACTGGGACTTTTCCTCCTGGCACCCAGTGGAGCCTACGGCGGCCAGTCTACGGTCTCCGCCAGGCACCGCGTGAGTGGCACGACACACTAAGGACTACGCTTGCGGCTCTTGGGTTTGCTCCCTCTGCTGCCGACCCGTCGCTGTTTCTGCGCACCGACACTTCTTTGCCGCCGTTCTACATCCTCGTGTACGTCGACGACTTGGTCTTTGCCACAGCTGACACTGCTGGACTCGCCCACGTGAAGTCCGAGCTGTAGAAGAGACACACGTGCACAGACCTGGGTGAACTGCGCAGCTACCTTGGCTTGCAGATCACCCGGGACAGAGCACGCCGCACCATTACCCTGACTCAATCACACATGGTGCAGCAGGTCCTTCAGCGCTTCGGCTTCATGTACTCCTCGCCTCAAGCTACTCCTCTGCCTACTCGCCACTCGCTCTCAGCTCTGCCTTCGGATGAGTCCGTAGAGTCGACTGGCCCGTACCCAGAGCTTGTCGGCTGCCTCATGTACCTGATGACCTGCACACGACCCGACCTTTCATACCCTCTTAGCATTCTCACACGCTATCTTGCTCCTGGGAGACACTGACCGGAGCACATAGCTGCAGCGAAGAGGGTGTTGCGCTACTTGTGCAGTACATCGGGCATGGGGCTTGTGCTTGGAGGGCAGAGTCCAGTGGTCCTCACTGGGCACGCAGACGGTTCTTGGGCTGACGACCAGGCTACGCAGCGGTCGTCACAGGGTTACACCTTCAGCCTTGGTTCCGGCTCTGTTTCGTGGCGGGCTACCCGCTCGTCTTCTGTTCTCGGCTCCAGTTGTGAGGCTGCGATCTACGCAGGGGCCATGGCTGCACAGGAGCTTCGCTGGATCACCTACCTGCTGACTGACCTCGGAGAGCCTCCTCGTTCTCCTCCAGTGCTGTACGTAGACAACAAGGCCATGCTGGCCTTGTGCCGGGAGCAGAGACTGGAGCACAGAACGAAGCACATTGCTCTTCGCTACTTCCTTGCTCGTGAGCTACAGCAGCGTGGTCAGCTGCGTCTTGCGTACGTGGCCTCTCAGGCCAACACTGCTTATATCTTCACCAAGGCACTTGCGCCTTGTGATCATCAGCGCTTCTGTACTCAGCTGGGTCTTGTGCCTACCTTGCCTCACTTGCTCACCCCTTGACCTTGTTTGTACTATTACATATATATATACACCTACTCTTGCTTGTTTTGCCTTATATATATATGTAATCTTGCATGTGAACTGGCCTTGTGGCCTTGAACTTGTGTTCAGAATGTGTGGTGACGTTGTGATCCACCCTGAGCTTGCTTTGCTTTGCTTGACTGGTCTTGTGACCCCTTGTTCTCCCCCACTTTGCCTATGGGGGTGTGTCAGATTTATATGACTTAGCTGTTGTAGGCTATAGTGGGGCAGCACATATGGGGTACAGCTTTCTAGGGTAGTACTTGTACCCAACTTTTCCTTAGTCATTTTTCATTCTCACTCAATTTCTCACTCTTTTTTCCTTTCTCCCCTTTTCACTTTCCTTCTCCCTACCCTTCCTATTCATCTCTTTCTCTTCCCCCTTTTTCTTCCTTTTGATACATTTCCTTGAGCCTTGTATTACATGTTGTATTATTGAAATGTGGATTACATGCTGTATTATTAAAAGGTGGATACATTTTGGTTCTAAATGAGTGGCACATGCTTGATATCTATGTTGAGCCATTGAAGTAAATCTGAAGTTGTACTCGAACATGTGAGGTCTCTCACACTTAGAAGGGTAGTAGGGCTCCCGTAATCCCTAAACTCCAGGGTTTTTACAGGATAAATACTTCAAAACTTGACTAGTGCTTCAGAACAAGCCGACAAGCAGCAGCATCCTTCCATAGTCCTATTTCTATTCCTCAGCCGGGTTCGCTTCCATTGTCCTACTGAAAAATGGGTCGCCGCCGAAGCTGTGCGTGGGTTCAAATTGACGGAAGCAATCCCACCTGATCTCTACACTCATCGCTGCGGAGCAGCGCCAGCGAGTCGCCCCCGGCATTGACCAGCTGCTGTACATGTATTTACTGAACACATAGCCCATTCCATCGCCGTATTTTGCGGATTCCCCCCCCCCAAACCAGGTTTCCGGACCGCCCTAAAATCACTGTTCGAGCCCACGTTTCGAGACCAGGTTGATGCGCATTGCGGACGCAGTTGTCTCTAAGGTCAGGTCAGGATGATTTCTCTTGTTTCGACTAACAAATCCGACCAGCGAGACGTGGGGCTGTGCAGTGCGCCCGCAGTTGTCGCAGGACGACGAGACGATCAGCATTGAGGCGGCGCATGAGAGGGAAGGCATGAAATATGAGTCGCCGAGAACGCCACGTAGGCACGCGCAAGGCCATGTAAGCGCGCGCAAAGCCACGTAGGCGCGCGGAAGGCCACGTTGGCGCCATGAAAGCCATGTAGGCGCGCGGAAGGCGAGTGGGCGCGCGGAAGGCAGAGGCGCACGTAGGGGGCGGAAGGCAAGTTCACCAGCCGCAGCCATAGTAGCTTCATCACTATTTAAAACCCCCGTTCTACGCACCAACCATGCCCTCATATCAATCCCCGTCGCCTTATACCATTCCACTTTCCGAGCTCCAAGCATCTGCCGCAGAGCATTAGCCACACCGCCGTGGGGGTGTGTTCCCTGAATCTTGCGTGACGTGAGAGCCACCTGGCCCGTCGTTCCCGCGGGAACTAGTAGTGGCGGTGCGGCATTCGTCTCGTCTCGAGATAGCTCGCACCATCGGGATCGCCGCCGCCGCTCGGCTCGTCGTAACGCCGACTCGCCGCTTCGTGTCCCTTGTGGCTTCCGCCGCGGCGCTTCTGCTCCTCGCAAACGCCGCCCTGCCGGCGCTCGCGAATTCGACTCAGATGGCGGCTGCGAGCCGTCGGGTCCTGAAAGCCGCCGCGCCCGTTACAGCACCCGCGCCCGGAGCAGGGACCGGGGCACCCGCGGTCGGCGCGCCACCGCCGCCGCCGGCGCCGCTCGATTAGTACTACGACGACGACTACATGCATGACTATACCCTGGAGCAAGTGATCGCAGCAGTGTCGCCTCAGGCGGCGCCGGGCACGCCGCCGTCCCCGCCGCGATCCTTGCGGTTGAAGGTCCCGTACACAATCAAGTTCGCGGACGTGTCCAAGTCGTACTACATTCTTAACTACCTCGCGAACTCGGTGTGCAAGTTCCCGGCCGGGCCGACGATTTTCCTTCCGACGAATTAGGCGTGGAGCAACGCGTTCGAGGGGTACAAGAAGAGCCGCAGCAGCGGCGCGCTTTACGAAGCGCTCGACGCGGTCGCGAGCGATCGGATCAAGAAGGCGTTCGTTTGGGCGGGGCATAAGATAAACAGCACTGAGTTGTCGGTTCTGGCAGACAAGGCGAAATCGTGCAAAACGCTCACGTCGCATCCGATCAGGGAGGCCGCGCGGACCGCGCTCTACAGCCTGATGTCGTTCCACACGGCGGCTTCGCGGGTTACGATCTTGAATCTGGATAACCAGGTACGGTATGCTTGCGATGCGAACCACCATCGGTTCGTTGTTGAAAATAAAATTCAGATCAGTGTGTGCACATGTTATGTTTGTGCGTGTATCTGATGGTGTGTTTTGTGTCTCCCGCTCGATTCCCTCATGCTCTCGTTGTCATTCATGTGCTTCTTAAAACCTTGTGATGATGCCGCAGCTTCAAGTGAGAGCTCGTATTAAAGTGACGCTGCCTCTATTGCTGCTGCTACTTGTTTAGTAGCATGGTACCGACTCTTAGTGCCCAGCACACTTGTTTTCTTCCGTTGCTCACACCCCCGACCCTCAACGTACAGTGTACCGCCTCTGGCACTTCTGTCAAGACCGCGTTCACTGGCAACAATCTGAGCTTCAAGTGCAACAGCACCGACGCTGGGTTCATTTCCGCCTCGGACCCCCTTGCATCCAACGTGGCTGCTGGAACTCCGTCTGCTGTGGCAATGATCGATGAGCCGCAGAAGGATTATTTCTACGTCAACGCGGTTGTGTTCCCCAGCAACATTTCCTCATTGCCTGGTATGCCTTTTGAGATTTGCGAGCAAAGCTTCGAAATCAGTATATTCGGCGAAGCATTATGGGTCTACTTCTGTTTAAAAATGATTAGTTTTTCTTTATTTCCTGTATAATCCATCAATGGACTTGCCATTCCCTTCATCATGCACCATGCCTCATGGTGGAAGATACATGCAGCCACACCTTCTACATGGCCCCAGGTTCTCATCGATTGTTCCTCTCCTTTCTCCCATTTCTCCTCACCCTCACTCCCATTTCTCCTCTCCCCCATTCCCATTTCGCATCCCCCTCACTCCCAACCCTCCATTTCCGCCCTGCTATCCCTTCCCTTCTCATTCCTGGCCCCCCTTATTCCCATTCTTCACCCTTTTATTCCCATATCTCCACCCCCTCACTCCTATTCATCCACCCCCTCACTCCCATCTCTCCCCCCTCTCTCTCCCGTTTCTCCTCCCCCTCTCTCCCGTTTCTCCTCCCCCTCTCTCCCGTTTCTCCTCCCCCTCACTCTCATTTGTCCTCCCCCTCACTTCCATTTCTCCTCCCCCTGGCTCCCATTTCTCCTCTCCCCCGCTTCCATTTCTCCACCCCCTCACTCCCATCTCTTCACCCCTTCGCCCCCATTCCTCACCTCCCCTTTTTCTTTTCGGATGCCACAGGCCATTGTCACTGTCCCGTATCTCTTCACAGAGTTGCATGCATAGCCACACATTCAATGACCACGTTTCCACTTCTCATACCTATCCTTGTTCCCATTTCTCTTCCATGCTAGGGGCCATTGTCATTGTCTCACGTCTCTTCACTGCATAACCACACATTCACTCACCACCTTTCTACTATTCGTTCCTCTCCTTGTTCCCATTTCTCTTCCTCTCCTTCTCAAACCACAGGTGCCGTTGCCACCGTCTCGCGTCTCCTCACTGCTCTGCTGGTCTTCACCTCTGCTCTTGCCTGTGCTCTCTAGTCCATCCAGATTGCATGAGTAAAATAGCCCATCTCCCTTTCATTCCCATCTCTACCCCTCACTCTCATTCCCTTTTCTTTCGGATGACAGGTGCCACTGCCACTGTCTCGTGCCTCCTCACTGCTCTGCTGGTCTTCGCCTCTGCTCTTGCCTGTGCTCTCTAGACACCAAGAGACAAGAAACCCTCTCGCTCCACTGCCCACGAGTCTTGACGCCATGGGAAGAGGGCGCACATGTGGTCGACGGTCCATGTTGGATCCAGTGTTCATCCTAGCCGTTGATTGATTGTGCAATGAGCATTTCTTCCCTGAGATCTGGAAGGCTATGTCCTCTGTTTTGCGGTAGATGCGTTTTTGGGCAATGAAAGTAGAGTGTATGGTGGGGAGGGATTTATTAAAGCCCGAGTACAGCATCGTAATTTTCAAGTTCAAGATTCTTGAACTTGAAGTCGCCAATAACAGGGTTACCCTACTTGTTTTGAGAAAATTCTCGCGACCCCAGGCAATCGTCCTGCGACAACGGAACCCGAGTGTCCAAAACCAGAACTGACGCGATGATCGCCAACCATTTGTACTATTCACCACTCACATACCGTACCAAGTAGTACTCGTTGGCTAGGAGGCTCCAAGGCAAAAACTAGCGCTAGTTGGCAAAAGCGAGTCGTTGATAGGTGTTTTTTTTTTTTTTGTGCGGAAGGAAATATAAGTCCACCTCAACCATCTTAGTCAGTGCACGCTCTAACCTCTCCCTCACGTCACCGGTCTCGTGTTACAACCCGTACACCCACGGCACTTACGTTAGTAAACGAGATTCGCATTACTCGAGTCTTGCATTCAAGCTCGCGTCGCACACGCAGGATCTTGTCACACTTGCTGCCATTCAACCTCGTGTCACGATCGTACTGTTTTAGGCACGGGTCGCTCACGCGAATGCCGTACTGGTTCGCGTAACGCACTCAGCCGTTAGTCGCACATGTTCCTCCTCGTCGGCCGCTGTTGCCCACGTCAGACCACTTTCCTCGTCGCCCGCGCTTTCCCTCATTACCCTCCCCGACTCTCTGGTCGCATATGTTCCCGTAGTTGCCCACGCTCTCCCACGTTAACCACACATCCCCTCGTCGCAATTGCTAGTAGTAAACATACCGCGCTTCAGATCGTCACCCGCGCTCCCCTCGTCACCCTCGTCGACCCACACCGATCCTCGCCACCCTCACCTCCCTTGGTCACCGACATTCTATCTCGTCGCTCGCGCTTCCCCTCATCACCCGTGCCGACCCTCGCCGCACTCGCCTCCCCTCGTCGCCCGCGCGTCCCGTCGTCGGGCTTGCCTCCCAGTCACTCGCGCTTCCCCTCGTCATCCGCGTTTCCATCCGCTCTTCCCCTCTCCCCATCTCACTATCTCCAGCCCATCCTTCCTCCCCCATTCCTTCCGAAGGGGTGGGACAGATGGGGAGGAACAGATGGGTAGAAACAGAGGTGGTCGCTTCCGCCACCACAATCGAACAGCGTTTTGATTCCCTCTCTGCTCCCCACCATCCTCCCCCCAGCTCTCTCCCCGGCATCTGCCCCCGCTCCCCCCATCCTCTTCCCTGTTTCCCCGTATCCCTTGCCGTGCTTCCCCCCATCCTATCCCCTCTTACCCCGTATCCCCTGCCCTGCTTCCCCCCATCCCCTTCCCTGCTTCCCCCCATCCCCTTCCCTGCTTCCCCTCATCCCCTTCCCTGCTTCCCCTCGTCCCCTCCCCTGCTTTCCCCCATCCCCTTCCCTGCTTTCCCCCATCCCCTGCCCTACTTCCCCCCATCCCCCTCCCTGCTTCCCCCCATCCCCTTCCCTGCTTCCCCCCTTCCCTTTCCCTGCTTCACCCCATCCCCTCCCCTGCTTCCCCCCATCCCGTCCCATGCTTCCCCCCATCCCCTTCCCTGCTTCCCCCCATCCCCTCCCCTGCTTCCCCCCATCCCCCTCCCTGCTTCCCCTCATCCCCTTCCCTGCTTCCCCCCTTTCCTTTCCCTGCTTCACCCCATCCCCTTCCCTGCTTCCCCCCATCCCCTTCCCTGCTTCCCCCCATCCCCTGCCCTGCTTCCCCCCATCACCTTCCCTGCTTTCCCCCATCCTCTCGCCTGCTTCCCCCCATCCCCCTCCCTGTTTCCCCCCATCCCCTTCCCTTCTTCCCCCCATCCCCTTCCCTGCTTCCCCCCATCCCCTTCCCTCCTTCCCCCCCTGCTGCCTCCCATCACTCTCATTCTCCTTCCTCCCGCACTCACACCTCTCAGTCCTCTCGCACTCTCTCTCTCCGTCTTCTCGCACTCGCACTCTCCTCCCCACCACCCTCAGCCCTCCTTCCCCTCACACCCACCCCTGTTCCCACCTGCCCTCCCCATCCCTGCCTTTCCCTCCTTGCCCTGCCCTTCCCTTCTCCATCCCTTCTCAACCCTTCCCTTTCATGTCATGCCCTCCCCTTCCCCCTGATCTTCCGCCCTCCAGTTACCATGCTTGTGCACCCATCACTGTCTCCCCATACCGGTACATGCTTTCATCATGTGCGCTTGCTTGTGTTCCCCTGCAGTTGTTCCCTTGGCACCTCACACCACTTCCCCCATGTTCCATCACACAATTCTTTCTGCCTACTCCACTCTCCAAATTTTCAGTGGTGAAGCAGAGGAGCAAGCTGAGGCGCAGCTAGAGCTAGTCCATGCTTTACGCCGTACCACCACCTGTTTCTTGTGTGTTGTATGCAAGCATGATACTGTATTACTGTTGGATATATCCATTCCAAAAGTGCAATATGTTTCTGCAGTGCAATATATTCTTCCAAGATGCATGGGCAAGAGTGTCAGAAGGGTAGATTCTACTTTTGATTGTACCCTTCTCAAGGACTTGAAAAAAACATGAGGGATGGGATGATGGGCTTCGGCGAGTTGCAGTGCCAGAAAATCTTCATTGGTGTCACTTCACTACCCAGGGAGAGGGAGGGAATGCGAGGGATGGGGAGGGGGAACAAGACTAAAGTCAAACAGGGGAGATAGGGAAGAGGGGGGAGAGGAAATCAGGGCTGAGAGGGAAAGACATAAGTACCGTTAAAAGAGGGAGGATAGGGAAGAGGGGAGATAGGAAGAGGGGGAGAGGGAAAGTGTGAGATAGGAAGATGAAACGAGGTGAAGAAGAGGGGGAAACGAGGGGAAGCAGGGGGGGAAACGAGGGAAAGCAAGGGGGGAAACGAGGGGAAGCAGGGGGGGGAAACAAGGGAAAGCAAGGGGGGAAACGAGGGGAAGCAGGGGGGGAAACCAGGGAAAGCAAGGGAGGGAAATGAGGGGCCAGCAGTGGGGAAAATGAGGGGAAGCGGGGGGGGTGGGGAGAGGGATATGAGGGGAAGCTGGGGGGAAAATAAGGGAAGTAGGAGGGTACAAACAGAGATAGCAGGGAGGGAAATGAGGTGCAGCAGGGAGGGAAATGAGGTGAAGCAGTGAGGGAAATGAGGTGAAGCAGTGAGGGAAATGAGGTGAAGCAGGGAGGGAAATGAGGTGAAGCAATGAGGGAAATGAGGTGAAGATGGGAGGGAAATGAGGCAAAGCAGTGAGGGAAATGAGGTGAAGTAGTGAGGGAAAAGAGGTGAGCAGTAGGAAATGAGGTGAAGCAGTGAGGGAAATGAGGTGAAGCAGTGAGGGAAATGAGGTGAAGCAGGGAGGGAAATGCGGTGAAGCAGGGAGGGAAATTGTCAGAACATTATAGCTTACTTATTTGTGTAGGCTATAGTGGGGTATCCCATAGGGGGTACAACCCAATTAGGGTTTCCCATATGTACTCACTTCATTCATAGTCATTTCATTCTCGTTCTCTTTCTCACATGGAATCAGAGCAGGTCCCCTCCTAGGGACTGTTTCTTGGGCCCACCGAAGCGCGCCCTGAGGCGCGCGTCCTTTTTTTTTTTTAGCGACCCGTCATGTCGCCCTCCCCCTAGCGGCCCGTCGCGCCGCCTTTTCGGTCGCGGCCCCGCCGCCCTACTCTCGCGGCCCCGCCGCCCTACCCTTAGACGGCCCCGCTGCCCTACGTCGCGGCCCCGCCGCCCTACCCTTTGACGGCCCCGCCGCCCTACGTAGCGGCCCCGTCGCCCTACCCTTCGACGGCCCTGCCGCCCTACGTCGCGGCCCCGCCGCCCTACTTCGACGGCCCCGCCGCCCTACATTGCGGCCCCGCCGCCCTACTTCGACGGCCCCGCCTGTCAAACATTATATATGTTATGCTTGTGTAGGCTACAGTGGGTTAGCCTATAGGGGGTACACAATTCTAGGGTTTACTACTTGTACTCATTTCACTTCTAGTTCACACATTCCTGTTCGCTTATTCTCACATGGTATAGAGCGGGTCCTTCTACGGACCGTTTTTTTTTTGGGCCCACCGAAGCGCCCCCCGAGGCGCGATCTTTTTTTTAGCGACCCCTCGGGTCGCCATTTCCCCTGCGGCCCCGCCGCCTTCACTGACGCGGCCCCGCCGCCGGCCCTTACGTGGCCCCGCCGCCTGCTCTCACGCGGCCCCGCCCCGGCTCCTTCGCGGCCCCGCCGCCTGCTCTCGCGCGGCCCCGCCCCGGCTTCTACGCGGCCCCGCCCCGGCTTTCACGCGGCCCCGCTGACGGCTTTGTCGCGGCCCCGCCCAGGCCCTTACGCGGCCCCGCCGCCTGCTCTCACGCGGCCCCGCCCCGGCTCCTTCGCGGCCCCGCCGCCTGCTCTCGCGCGGCCCCGCCCCGGCTTCTACGCGGCCCCGCCCCGGCTTTCACGCGGCCCCGCTGACGGCTTTGTCACGGCCCCGCCCAGGCCCTTACGCGGCCCCGCCGCCTGCTCTCACGCGGCCCCGCCCCGGCTCCTTCGCGGCCCCGCCGCCTGCTCTCGCGCGGCCCCGCCCCGGCTTCTACGCGGCCCCGCCCCGGCTTTCACGCGGCCCCGCTGACGGCTTTGTCGCGGCCCCGCCCAGGCCCTTACGCGGCCCCGCCGCCTGCTCTCACGCGGCCCCGCCCCGGCTCCTTCGCGGCCCTGCCGCCTGCTCTCGCGCGGCCCCGCCCCGGCTTCTACGCGGCCCCGCCCCGGCTTTCACGCGGCCCCGCCGACGGCTCTGTCGCGGCCCCGCCCAGGCCCTTACGCGGCCCCGCCGCCTGCCCCCGTCGCGGCCCGGTCGCCTCCTGACGGCCCCGCCGTCCCTTCCTGACGGCCCCGCCGTCCCCTCCTGACGGCTCCTGCCGTCCCCTTCTACCGGCCCCGCAACTGCACCTGCTGGCCCCGCCGCTGCACCTACCGGCCCCCCACCACCCACCCCCCCTTTTCCCGTCGCCTGTCGAGGCGACCTGAGGGGGCCGCTTGCGGGGTGGCAGGTGTGTGGCCTCCCCTGCTTCTCCTCCTCCTTCATCTCCCACTGCAGCAGCCGAGCCGCTCACCTGCAGCAGCCGAGCCGCCCCACCGCCGAGCCGCCCTGCACCCGAGCCGCCCAGCAGCCGAGCCGCCCTGCCGCCGAGCCGCCGGGTCGCTGAGCTGCTGAGCTGCAGTTGCTGCCGAGCCGCCCTGCCGCCGAGCCGCCGAGTCACCGAGCTGCTGAGCTGCAGTTGCTGCCGAGCCGCCTTGCCGCCGAGCCGCCCGAGTCGCCCGAGCCGCCGAGCCGCCGAGCTGCCGAGCCGCTGAGTCGCCGAGCCTACTCTTCCCACCACTGGTGAGCTCTTGCCCTGCTAGCACGCTGCGCGTCGCCTGCTTGCCTGCCTGCCTGCCTTTTGGCTTGCCTGGCTGCCTGCCTTCCTGCTGCTAGTCCTGCTCCTGCTTCTACTTGCGGAGCCAAATGCAGCCCCAGCGACGCCTGCGTGAGTCCCTCACGCCCCAGTAGCTGCGTGAGTGGTACGCTGGTTGGGGCTGTAGGGGTGGCGACGCTACTCCTACTACCACTCCTGCTGCTTCTACTCGTGGTGGCGGCCAGATGCAGCTCCCGCGACCCTCTCGCGTGTCTCTCACGCCTCGCCAGCTTCGTGAGTGGTACGCTCAGAGTGGAGGGTCTCTCAGTGCTGTTCGCTGCTCTTACGTGATTCGCACTGGTACTCGGACTGGTCAGCCTTGTGGGACACGGAGTCATACACCGTCCCGCTGCTTCGCCCGTCTGAGCGACGCCTGGCGTACCGTGTTTGGCGACGAGGCTGAGCTTCCCGACTGGGTGGAGTTGCTTAGGCAGAGGGTAGATATATATGCTCTTGACTATGATGCTATTCTCACTGCCATGTATGCATTGCCTACTAGTGCTGACCGTGCCGGTCACCTGTGCGTCCCGCCTGACCCAGGTATAGGACCTGCTGCTCTAGCTACTGGTGAGGCTGCTGCTCTGGGTGCTAGTGAGTCTCCTGCTCCAGGTACAGGTGCGGCTGCTGCTCTAGGTGCTAGTGAGTCTGCTTCCTCAGGTGCGGGTGAGGCTGCGCTCTCAGGTACCGCGTTGGCTTCGGCCTCCCTCACCTTTACACTTGACTCAGGGGCTTCTCGCTCCTTCTTTCGGGACCGCACCACACTCACGCCGCTTGGTCGGCCGGTTGCTGTCTCCCTGGCTGACCCCTCTGGGGGTCCTGTCCTCGCTCACTTCTCCACTGTCCTCCCGTGTCCGGCTGCCCCCTCGGGCACCCTCTCTGGCCTGTACCTCCCCTCGTTCTCGACGAACTTGGTGAGTGGTGCAGACCTACAGGATGCGGGGGTTCACCAGTTCACTCCTGCGAGTCAGCGGGTGACCCACTGCACGGACGCACGCACAGGCCGGCACCTGGCCACGTTCTCGCGTCGGCCGGGGTCGAGCCTCTACACCCTGACCACTGAGTCTCCTCCTGTCCCCGCGTCCGGTCAGGTAGCAGCGTCGGGTCAGGTGTTTGCTGCTGCGTCCAGGTCTGGTCCTGAGTCTGCCCCCTGTTCGTGTCGCCTCCTGTCTCACGAGACTCTTCTGTGGCACCACCGTCTAGGCCACCCCTCCTTGCCCCGTCTTCGGGGCATGGCTTCCCGTGTCCTTGTCTCTGGTCTTCCCCAGTCTCTCCCTCCCCTTCCTTTGGGACCAGGACCTTCCTGTGTCCCCTGTGTCGAGGGGCGCCTCAGGGCTGCTCCTCACTCCTCCCAGTTTCCCCCGACAGAGGCTCCTCTGCAGACGCTTCACATGGACGTGTGGGGCCCGGCCCCCGTCCGTGGGCAGGGTCACGAGCGCTACTTCCTGTTGGTGGTTGACGACTACTTGCGTTACACCTCAGTCTTCCCCTTGCGCAGCAAGGGTGCTGTCACTGAGGTGCTGATCGACTGGATCCGCGAGGCTCGTCTCCAGCTCCGGAGGAGCTTCGGCTCGGACTTTCCTGTTCTGCGTCTGCACTCTGACCGAGGTGGGGAGTTCTCCTCTCGCCTTCTGCGAGACTACTGTCGTGCACAGGGGATCCGCCAGACCTTTACGCTTCCGGACTCTCCACAGCAAAATGGGATTGCTGAGCGCCGCATTGGCATGGTCATGGATGTCGCTCGTACGTCCATGATGCATGCGGCTGCCCCCCATTTTCTGTGGCCGTTTGCGGTTCGGTACGCGGCGCATCAGCTCAACCTTCACCCCAGGGTCTCTCGGCCCGCGATGTCCCCAGTGTTACTGTGGACGGGGAAGGTCGGCGATGCGTCTGCGTTCCGTGTCTGGGGATCTCGGGCGTTT